GTTCAAGGGATTCTCAAGTGCTCCAAAGATCATTTGTATTCTACCCTCCCCCTACCCCATTATGGGCTAGAACCATGTGTTGATGACAGATCACTGGGCAGTTTTCACATGAGCAGCATAGATCGGTCTGAGTCTGAGTTTCGTCAAGCAGGGTTAAAAATTCTGACTTCATCATTTAGTCATCTCCAGGTTGTCTGATCACAGTCCTCTTGCAGTTAAAGAAGGGGTGGAAGGAGAAGAATAGCTAGAGCATGATTTATGTGTATTTATTCATAATACATGCATTCAGTATTAATACATCAAGTGCATTATAAAATACACAGAATAGAAGTTATAACAGAATGAGTGAGATAATAGAAAAAATGTAAGTGTCTTGGTAATCATGATGCTGTCATACTGTCACTCGCTAATATCTCAAGGCAAAATATAAGCTCAGGTCCGAATTCATCATTATGGATGGTTAACATATATTCAGATTTCCTTGAAATAGTCTTGGATAACTGAATGTTTTTGACCTGTTTCTTGCCCGATCTAATTAGACCGATGTTGCTTTCACTCATCAGTATGGCTGGCAAAGAACTCTTAGAGGTTAAAGTGGCAGATCTGATCTTGATTTTCACCTGTGCTCGCATTATCGGATTTATCTCCATTTTTCATTTCTTTGAAGGGATCTTTTTAGGCCACTTGTTTTTCAAATATGAGGGTTGATTGGTGAAAGCCAGAAAACATAATCTGTGGAAACTGTAAACTTCAGGCAATGTCTGTTCCTCTCAGTCTCTTTATCAGTAAAATGGGGATGATACCACATATCTCATAGGGTTAAATGGATTAAATGGCATGAGTAAAGTTCTCTGCACAGACACTGACATATGATTTAAAGGAGAACTAAAAGGGAGCTGCTCTTATAATTACTACTACTCTATTACACAATTGCCATGTATATACTCATGTTATTCCTAGCCTAATTTAAAAACCAAACAAAACCTCCTCTCACTGCTCTTTGTATGACAGCAAGAGCTGTAGCTTCTCCTCATCTCCTGCCTACCCCCACCCCCAAAACAAAACACAAACCAAAAACGTATCAGCTTTTTCAGCTTGAAAATAACATAAAGATTCTGAGCACTTAGCAATTTTGTTATTAGCATAGTTGCTAATAGCTAAGACCGGCTAAATTCTCTATGTTGGATAATCTTAATATATATCTCTCATCCTTTCATTCAACGAAGTGTGTTTTTTTTTTTTTTGCTTAAACAACATATAATGTGTTAAGCATCCAGCTAATTGCTGAGGTTTCAAAGATGAATTGAACTTAGTCTACACCCTCCAGGCACTAGCCATCTAGTGGAGGATACCAACAAAAATTGCATCAGAGTAATAAGTGCTGTAATGGAGGTGCACACGGGTTGCTATGGAAGCAGAGGGAGACAAGTGGTTTCCTTTGCCTGGGGAGGGCAGAGAGGGCAAGGAGGGCCACTGGAAGTTACGTGGGCCGTAGCCGAGTTTTGGAGGATGTGGACTGGGGACCTGCATCTTATGGAGAGGAAAGTAATGTGTCCAGTATGGCCCCTTAGGAGCCAGCAGTTAAGCCAGCTTTCCTGAGCTCAAGCATTTGGGGGAGGTCAACAAGGCTGGCAGAGATCTTTCTGTGCACAGCTGTGATGACATGCTTGTTATCAAGCATGGATGACATGCTAAGAAGTCTGAAATTTATCATAGAATGGACTGGGAATAGACAAAAGCTTTAAAGCTAGAGAGGGGTATGATCACAAAGTGGGGTGGAATTTTGGAGGAATGGTTGTGGAGAAACTAAATTTATTGAGACTGTTGATTAGAAGAAAAGGAGTGAGGGGAGTGTTTATTTCAGTAATAAATTTACTTGCTAATTCTAAACTCTTCACTAAATTAAACGTCAGCTGATTCACTTTGTCAAAGTTTAGCTTCCATTACTGTAGATGAAGTACTCATTCCCTAAATGGTCTTACTTGCTCCTGTTCAAAGCTAGGCCACATTTCAGCCAGCATTAACAGTTTGCCTGGGGAAACTAGAAGCTTCCTGACTTTGTGCGTGGAATTCTTCTTTATGAAGGTATTATAGCTAGGTATCACTTTTCAAACCCAGTCTCTTCTCTGTACAGAACGCCAATCATGGCAGACTTACATCACAAGTGAATGTGGCCATATAGACATGAAAAAGTGACTTCTATCCCTTGATGCCAAACTAGAAAGAGAAAGGCAAGTTCACAGAACACATTATGACTCATCAGAGTCCAAAAGGAAAAGCTTCATGTGAACATAGTATCCTGTGCAGCCTTCTAGAGTCCTTTTAGCCTCCAACTCTATTTGCTTTTCTCTGATTTTCTACAAAACAAAAGAACCCCAGCAGTGTCCTCCTTAATATCAATTGTTAAATTTTGCTTTACCTCGGAGATGAAACTCATGCCCTGGGTTGTGCATGTCCTTGTACTGAGTGATTGGCATTGCCTTTTCATTTCTCCTGAGCATAGATCTTATTTGATAAAGTTCCTACTTGGTGCAGTGCAAGCTAGAAACAAGATAGATCTTAGAGGAAAGACCTGAAGGGAGAAGGTGGTACTTTCTCAGACCAATGTGAAGGGAAAAGGAGATGCAGTATCTGTATTTAATCTCTGCTCCCAGGGATGGATTTTATTTTTCCATTCCCATAGTTGTACATATAATGCGTGGATACCAGTTCCTCCAAGTACTGCGTCAAAATTTTATATGAACTGAAGAATATACACATGTAACAAAGGCAGTGTTTTCTTCTGTACTTTCTGTCTGACAAAATGCAGAAGGAATGGCCAGTCTCTTCCTCCAGTGGCTCACTAAGATGATTGTTCTCTTTTTGAAATTTGGCATGGCTTATGAAGGTGGAATCTTAGAAGGATAAAGGGCACTTATTCACAAGGGAGTAGAGATGAAATCCTCAACTTCTGAAAATTGGCATGTGAAATTGGCATGCCAGGGAAACAGATTAACTCCCCCCACTCCAAATTAAAACCTTATATTACGTAACGTATTGAACATCACGATTAGGTTAAAGCCCTTTTGTAGATGGCAGGATTATCCCGCTGTATTATTGTAAGTTGCAATTTATTAGGCAGTTGGAAGTTATACTTTTACCACATTGCTAATTTTGTTTATGATTTCTTGCCTAGTTAATAGTTATACTGGCATATCCTCGGGCAGAAGAACGAGTTCTTACAATAGCATCTTCAGGGCATACTATATTCTGTTTCTTTTAGACGTGTTATCTTTTGTTGTCTTGAGGCTCACTTTGGGGTAGACAGAAAATTATGAAGCTCAGGGTAACAGGCATGTAGCAAAACCTTAGAAAATTATAGAATGCATGATCCTTGACACTCAGAGCTACCTGACAATGGTACCCTTGCAAACTCCTTTCACCAGCAATGGACCAGGAACATAAACAGTTCTTGCCACTTGACCACATGCAGCACATTGCAGCCGTGTTCCTTCCACAGCTTCTGGTCTTCAACTTATCTGGTGCATAGTTTTAAGCATCCTAGAACTGTATTTCAGACCCGGCTGCTCAAACAGAGTTAATTTTGCAACAGTAAAATGATCTTAAAATAGGATTTTACTCTGGTGGGGGGGTCCTCAACCAAAGTCACAGTGCACTTTGAATGACTAATTTAAGCCATTACATTACAAAATAAGGGATAAATCATACTTTTCATAATACTACCATATAGGAACAGTTTTAATTGTTAAGAGTCAAGCACCTACATTAATCTGAGTCTAAAATAATAGGCCCCTGATTTAAAATCTCCTAACATTCTTTCACACTTCGTAAAACTAAAAATAAAATTGTCTCAGCAAACACTGACCTATTCGTCCAGCCAAAGTGCTGTATTTCAAGGAAAATTGGAACAAGGGGTCTCAAAACCAAGTGCCAGCAGTCTACTGTTTGTAGCATTAAGTGGTCTTAAATATGGTATGGGAGAGATGAGACTACGGACAGGATAGAGTAAAAGATTTATTCCCCTTTTTAAATCAAAAGCAGATTCCAGGCTTCAGCTGTCCCCTAGCCCGCCTGCCCCGCCCCCACGAGGTGGTTTTCCCCTATTTTTGTATCTATTTTACTCCACGATGACAGGTGAGGGAAGGTTAAAGCACTGTGTCTGGTCACAAAGTAAACAGAGGGGTTAGGGCGAGTTTATTTACTTATAAGGCGTTCTGCCTCTCAGCTGTTTTCCCCTCATTGGCATTTGGAAGCTTGCAGTCCTTTAGAAAAGAGACAGATTTGGCAGGAATGTTCTTTGTGCCCGCCTTCCTTTTTTTACGGGGGAAAAGGGGAACAGATTTATAATTACAGCCTTGGGTGGCGGGGGGCCGGGGGGGAGAAAAAGTTTCGGGCGGCACATTGAAGCCTGTTTCTTTTCGTGGTCAACACCCGTGCCACAAACAGCTTTGGTGCCAGTCGGAGCCCTCCCCTTGTCCCCTCCCTTTCCCTCTGCAGGCTCGCTCTGGCAGGCGGAGGCACAGTTAAATTCCAGCACCTTCTCCACATACCCCCAAACTACTACGCGCTATTACTACGACTGCCTCCCCCCTCCCCCCTTCCCCGCCCCCCTTTGCCTCCGCTTCCCAGCCTCCCGGGAGGAGACCGGCAGCGCCCCTGGAAGAAGACTGCCAGGGAGGGATAACGGGCGCCCAACTCCATCAAGGGCTTGGGGCTTTCTGCGTCCTGCGCAGTTTCTCTGCTCCAGGCACAAACGCTGCCTGAGAGCCGGCGCCTTGCAGATACATATGAATCCACGCATACAGCAGAGCTGTCTCGATCCACATTCTTGCACACTGCCCCCGCCTCCCCTCGCCTCCCCCCACCCGCTGCCACGAGCTCCCGGAGTCGCTGAGCAGAGCGAGTGACAGGCATGTCCCTCCAACCCGCGCCCGGGCGGTCAGGGAGGAGCGGCGCGCGGGGCCAACTGCGGCGCGTCTTCCGGCGCCCGTGGAGGCGGCGAGGGTGGGACACGGGGCGGAGCCGGAGTTTAGGAAGAGGAGGGGATGGCTGTCATCAATGAAGTCATATTCATAATCTAGTCCTCTCTCCCTCTGTTTCTGTACTCTGGGTGACTCAGAGAGGGAAGAGATTCAGCCAGCACACTCCTCGCGAGCAAGGTAAATATAACTTACAACTCCTTTCTCCTCTTTCCCCTCCCTCGGGCCTCCCGCCTGCAGCCACCGCACAAACCCCACCGCGCCGCCTTCGCCGGGGATTATTCATTATCATCCTAATTATTATTTATTGTGCATGCACCAAGACCAAAACAAACAGGCGGGCCAACCGCCACAACAAAAAAAGCCCGCCTCCTCCCCTCGGGCCTCAGGTGGAATGCTCTAACGACAGCTCCCGGGCGGCGGTGGAAGAAACGGGAAAGTTTCAACCGTACCTTGCTGTTCTAATAATAACAGTAATAATTACTACTTCAAGGAGGCAAGGGAAGGAAAATCCCAACAAACCACAGCTTTGACCCTAGGTAGGCAGTTCGCGATGTGCTGCCAACTCAAGGTTGCAACACACACCTCGGCAAGGTTGCAATCCCCTCATCCCCTTAAAAGCTGGGTTGGGGGGTGGGCGGGGAGAGGCAGAAGGACCGGAGAAGAGGATGGAAACGCGACAGTTTTTCCCAATCAGTCCTCCCCGGAAGAGTTGGAAAGGGAGAGGAGCCGGAGCTGGCGGCGGGGAGCCAACGACCGCGGCTGCCACCCGCTTCCCGGAGACTTGTTTAAAGGGCTCGGGCTGCGGAGACGCGAGAGGATCGCGGCGGGAGAAGCCAGAGCTGGCGCGCCGAGGCGGCGGCAGCCACCTCCGCCGGGCCGGTGCGTGCGGGATGGCGGAGGTGTCACCTCCACTTTACGCGTTCCCTCGGGCGGGGATGGGGACGCCGACCCGTTGGCAGGCCTTTAGGCAAAAGGGCTGCCGGGGGGGCTGCCCTCAGGGCACTGCAGACGTCCCTGCCCCTGGTACCTGGCGGCCGCACGTTCTCGGGTGTTGAAGTTCGGGGTGCCCGGCCCCGGCCGCACTGCTGGGAGGGAGGGAGGAGGCCCCGAAGAAGGAGGTCGGAGATGCCCGCGGGGCTCAGTTACCCTGCCCTCCCCCTTCCCGTGTTTGTTTTCTTTTGCTTTGCGTCTTTCCCGAGCTTGAGCCGCGGAAACCGCAGGCGTGGGTCGCCCGGGATCGTCCGGGTGGTAAGGGCATGCTGGGGCCCGGGAGAGCCACCGTGGCTGCGGGCCGAGGAGGCCATGATCCGGATAATCCTCTCTGCCTGACTGTCACAAACAGGACCCGCGCGCACCCGGGCAGCGGCAGTGTCGTTCGCCGGAGAAGGGGAAGGGCTGCAGGGGGGAGGAGGGCGGGAGGCGGGGAGACGGGGTGGGAGCCTCCTCCCGACGATGACACGCACCCCTTCCTTTTCGCTCCCTGCTTACGAGTTTGCTTTATTCCCATCCCAACCTGGTTTACCCCTTCCTCTGCTCTCCCCCTCCATCTGGCCGTCTTCCCTCCTCCCGTTTGCGTTGCAAAACACGGCCATGCCATCTGCAAAGGTGTCGCGATGCACTTCCCCAAATAACCAGTCCGGCGCGCCAGCCCCTAGTCGCCCTCCGTCTGCGGGAGCACACAGAGCGGGGCTCCACGGGTGCCCCGCACCAGGCCTCGCAGCCTGGGCGCAGTTGACCCGCACGGGGCGGGGCGCAGCAGTGCGGGCTCCAGGGGGACACCCTCGCTGGGGTTCTGGCACTCCGGCCGGTTTCCGGTACACGCGGGGAAATCGCCTCCTGCCAGTGTCTGCCGCTCGCCCCCGCCTCCGCCGCCTGGATTGCATTATTATTTTTATCCGGGTTGCAGTTTGCAGCAGATCCTGGTGAGCGCGGGGCTGGCCGGACTGCTCGGGGGGGTGGGTTGGGGGGGCGGAGGGAAGTTGGACGTGAATCAGGCAGGAAAAAAA